GTTTAAGAAGGCGCGTTTTTAAAGGTTTAAGAAGACATGTTTCAACCTTTTAAGAAGACTTGTTTCAAATGTTTAAGAAGGCTTGTTTCAAATGTTTAAGAAGACCTCTTTCAAATGTTTAAGAAGACTTGTTTCAAACTTGCAAAGTTGGCTATTTTGAAATAGTCAGGATCATGGGGCAGTTAGAAAAAAAATGACAATATTAAATCAAGAACATTTCCATAAAATTTGTCAAAGCCACTAACCCCCAATTATTCATATTGGATTTACTGCCAGTATAAACAACCTTGTGTTGTTGTGTTTACACCAGGTAGATTGAAGTCGCCCAATAAACATTTGACCAAAGCCAGCATCCCGAACATAATTTAGCACACAGATGATATTATTAATACGTTGTACTATCGTCATTTAGTAACCTATAACAGAAAATTATAGCAATTGTGTCTGTTTGAAATGGCAGTATTACACAAGCAATAGTTTCATCAGGGTATATATCGGCACTTTATTTTCTAGATCAGCTCGACGCCGAGGGTTGTGGATTTAACCCTGTCCCCTCACCCAATGTTTACGATATCCTCAGTCAACCATGTCTCAGTAATAGCAACTATGGATAATCTGTGACTTTAAACTAGGTGTTGAAACTTTAAGTATTTTTTGGTGGCTACTATCTCGGTTTTTATACTTCCGGTATTTACAAGTAGGCGTGTAAGATTGTTTGAACTTGGATTTGTTTCAACAAACTTTCCCATAATGCACCAGTAGCAGAAAAGTAGCACAGGACGTTGAGTGCATTGTGGTCGATTGAAACCACATTATTTATTTACTTTTTTATTCATTTATTTATTTATTCACATGTTAATAACACAACAATTTGTATGGTGGAAACATGATATCTGAACACGTATAGAATTCAATATAACTTAGAAGCGTGTTCCAATTTTATGTATACAATTTACACATGCATACAATGTGCACGAATGTGTATTATATGCATCAAATGTTCTCCCACACCCGTAATATTATGTGCATGTTTTATAGTAAACAATGTCCGTCCACGTCTAATTAACAACTTAATTTTCTTGGCATTTTTGCGAAACTTGAACTGCCAAGGAATAATTTCGCACCCAAAAATTATTGTCGAGTGTTATTTAGTGTGTTTGTGTTCATTATGAGCCACCGGGAGTACATTATTGTTATTATTTTGTTGCATGGCAATGCCAGTGAATTTTCACACGTTACAACTAACGTAACACGTATGCATAACACGTATACAAAAAATAGACAAACTCGGATCTCCCTATCCTACACGATGTTAATTTTGCGATGACCGGGAGGAACAGTGATGTGTCGATGGATTGAAGCTCGTAAACCAGACAGCGACGGCTTGCTGTACTTCACCCAATCTTGCTTACGAGCTGAAGCGTAAAATCCCCGCAGCAAGTCGGCGAGCTTAACGACAGGGAGGTTTTCAAAATTGGTGGCGTACTCCCCATTTAGTCTGCTGTGAAGTATTTTTTTAATTTCTTGCATTTTCGAGCACATTTAACTGGGATTCGTCGACATCGATAAAACGGATCATCGTGCTTGCCTTTGGTGAGCTACGTTTATTTACGCGTTGGACGTTGATACCGGGTGTTTCTCGCGAAGTCGGGATTTGCCAGGCGACGATTTGTGTTTGTCGTTATGGCGGGGATGGCATTTTTCATGTAAACTAAGAAAAAATAATTATCTTTCACATAGCTCAGAGTTATTCATTTTCAGTTTTCACCCCATAATTTCCCTTATTATTAAATGCCCGTCTCTGTATTTGTTTTTCGAACTCAACATTCTATTCCTATACATGGTACGGGGCCTTGATGCTCAATAATGCAATACATTATCACGAATAATCTGTGGCAATGACGTCATAAAATTCGCTGGTATTGACAATGCTATAATATAATTTTGTATAATATAATTAATAAGACCCCAAAATTATCAAGAATCAAGGGCCATGAAATGACTATGCAAATTAGTCACGTGTCCATATAGTAATTCTTGTTTTCATCTGAATTTGAGCAACAAATCAAAGTGTCTTTTGAAAGTCGTCGCTCGTGATTACGACCGAAGCATACATCGTATTACTCGTGAAAATAATGTCCATATTCCACATGCCATAGTTGAGGTGAAGCACATATACACGTCGATGAAGCTTGCCAACATGCATATTGTCCTTTGATTGGTCTGATTGTTAAGTTTGGGTAGCCAATCAGATACAATCTTGTAGCTTTGCATTGACTCCGAGGCCATGGCGTTCTGACCTATTACAATCCACATACACCGTCCATCAAGTAAAGATACCTCGGCTAATAATCAATGTTAAAATTATTGTTTTGACTGCACAATTTAGAACTACATTTTCTGAATTTACAAAATGCTTGTTAGCCCCAATTAATAGGTTACTGCGAAACGTCCATCGGCGAGGGCGCAATTTAAAGAGCAAAATGCATCATGTATTATTTTCTCAATCCACTGCTCAAAGGTTGGGTGTGTTTATGGCGTTTCATTTTAAAATGTAGGGGTGCACATTGTCAGGTTTAAATGGGGCCGGGGAAAACTTTATCGGAATGGTTTTATGGACTGAATGGATGTCTTTTTAGTACGGAAAACTTGATTTGAGTCAAAGATCCTAATTAACAGTTGTCATGGTTATATTTGCACCTCATATTGATATAGGTACAGAGCATAAGTTGGTCTTGCACATTCCTTGTCGAACAAAGGGCGGCAGGATTAAATTTAGCGATGAAATGGTCTTGTAATTGGGGAGATTGTTGAGGTTGTGTATGTGACATAGGCACACGTGTTATATTTGTAATGTAGGCATGTAGTTTGAAGCTTCCGATGTCGAGTTACATGTGTATTTAAATAAACGCATCAAGTACGGTATTTGACGAGCATACATTATTATCAAAATATTTTTTCTGCGATGCAGGCATTATGTGCAAAGTTCCACGTCTTCGAGTGTAATTTTGGACCACGTGCAGAATCCAAAACCTCGCGTTATATTTATACTCTCTAAATTTCTTCGAAATAATTCGGCAACCATCGTAATACACACAAACTCACACTCTTGGCTACTCTGTGTAAATAACACCCTCTAGCATATCCAACATAGATTTACATACAGGGTACAAAATGCGTGACAATTTAACCTAAAAAGAAACTAGATTTGATAACAAGCAATGAGGATTGTGATCCATACATAACACGGGCAGAATTAAAACAGCTTTGCGCAAACTCTACTGGTTCAAATTGAAATTCAAGTTTTAATCATAACCAAAATAATTACTTTAAATATAACATAGCATCTTGTTTATTTTTTTTTCGAGTTATCGCGTTATTTCGCGGTAACCCGGCTCTCGCGGCCATTTACACACTCAAATGATATTTTATTGAACAATAAATAAATAAATAATAATAATAATAATAAACAAGAGACTGTACGCAAGTTTCGCTGATTTTCGATTATCTGTAATTAGCGAAACGAACCATTTACTAATTAAAATATTGTTATTTTCGGCAAATATTTTGAAAATATTGTGCGTATAAAACCCATTTTCTCTGATTACAGTTTTTTTGTTATTATGTGTGTCCTCTCGTTTTGTTTCATTTCGTTTCACTGACTACAATAAGCCTATTTAAAACATATCCCTCCATCTGAGAAAAAGCATTTTTTGGAATGTGAACTTTAGTTATTGTTTCAAACAAAAGATGATTGAAGATAAGACGCCAAAACGGAAGAATAATGACATTATACATGTATAATCTATTTATAGACTCGGTTAGCCTCGGTTCTTGACAAATTCTGAACAGGCCACG